GATTCAATGATTGTGCCTTCATTCATATCAAGAACATCAGACTTGTGTATTAAACATCGATATGCACTACTGTTGTTTGCGTAGCCAATAAAGATGCAATCAACAGTTTTAGGCCCAATTTTTATTTGTTTTGGTTTGGGTACTTGTACCTTAGCCAAACACCCCCACACTTTTAAATATTTATAGGACGGCTTGTGACCTTTCCATAATTCATAAGGGGTTTCTTTCTTTTCTCGGTGCGGAATCTTATTAAGAATATGATTTGCCGAGAGGAGTGCTTCCCCCCACAAATTCTGAGGTAAACCCGAATTTATCAACATTGCATTCATCATTTCTTTAAGAGTCCGATTTTTGCGTTCAGCAACACCATTTGATTGGGGAGAGTAAGGTGTCGTAGTTTGATGAATAATGCCGGTTTGAGAACAAAATTCATCAAATGGAGCACCATATTCTCCACCTCTATCACTTCGAATCATTTTGATTTTTCTTCCAAGTTGATTTTCCACTTCAACTTTATAGCTTTTAAAAGCTTCCAAGGCCTCGTCTTTGCTCCTTAGCAAAAACACATAACAATATTTAGTACAATCGTCAATAAACGTAATAAAGTATTTCTTTCCTCCTCTAGTTTGCACAAATTTTAAATCACAAATATCACTGTGAATTAAATCTAGAGGTTCCGTTGTTCTTTCAGCAGAATTAAATGACAATTTAGTCATTTTTGCTTCTACACAAGTTTCTCACATTTCTTTTGAGAATCGAATTTAAGATGAGGTAGTAGTTCTAAGTCTACCAACTTTTTGAGTGTTTTAAAATTCACATGTCCTAGTCTAACATGCCATAATTTAGAACACTCTATCAAGTACATAGAATTAGTAATTTTATTATCATCAAGCTTGTGAACAAGCGTCATTACATTCATCTTAACAAGGCCGTTATCAACATAGCCTTTCCCTATAAAACGACCATTCTTGGTGAGAATTAATTTCTCAGCCTCAAGAACTAACTTAAAACCAGCCTTAGTGAGCAGCGTTCCGGAAATTAAATATTTACGGATATCCGGAACGTGCAGTACATTAACCAAAGTGAGCTCCTTCCCGGAGGTGAGCTTCCAATGTCCGAGGTGGCAGAGTTTCCCACCTTTTGACCATTGATTGGAGTGTAGGAGGAGAACGACTCCTTGTTGGAGCATATATGGCGAGTTGCACCCGTATCGAGCCACCATTCCTTGGGATTGTCCACCAAGTTAGCTTCAAAGACTACGGCACATAAGTTGAGGTCGGACATGTCGATAGGAACACTTTTATCTTCGACCATGTTAGCTCCGATCTGGTACGTACGTACGAGCGAGGCGAGGCGGCCGGTCGGACGGACGGCGGCACGCGCGCGCGTGGGCACGATTTGAAACACATAACATATAGACCTTTCTCCCAAACAAAGTTGAATGCCCAAAGGGCGTGACCCTTTGTCCCAATATTTTGATATATATACAGCTCAGTACTTCTCTACTTTTCCAATGTGGGATAACTCAAAATCCCACTTTCCTTATATTTTGGAATAGTAATTTTTCATTCACCACAAAATTGGTTCTAATCCAAAATTCATTTATATACTCAATTAGACAGTACAATAACATTGATAAAAAATTGTTCATGACTCAATTTTTAACCAATTTTCCCAACACCTCATACCCGAGGAGGAGGAGGAGGGCGGTGAGGGTGTGGTCTCCGGTGGGGCCGCAAGGGTGTGGGGTGTTGGTTGTGGAGAAAAGAGGGAGAGAAGAGAAAAGACAGAGACGACTACGGGATATGAGAGTTTAGTTAGGTTAAAAATTATGAAATGGTAAAATAGGTTATTAATAATATAAGGGTTAATAGCATTTCGCCACCTGGACTTTGCCCGTTTTTGCACTTTACCACCTTAACTAAAAAAGTTGCAAACGCCCACCCAAACTCAATTTTTTGACACACATAACCACCTAAGGGGAATATTCCGGCGAATATTCTCATTTTTCAACGCACGCGCGATCCACATGCGAAAGTACAAGGGCTTTTTCGTCTTTTTACTTGAAAATATTATAAGGGGTGAAATTGAAAGTACCAGGGACTCAATTGAACTTAATTTGAAACTTTCACAACTTCCACCCATCATCTTCTTCGTCTCCCTCTTGCTGCAAAACAGGGGAATCAGGATATTTCACACCACCGCCACCAACATCTCTCTCCACCGCCGTACCACCACCTGAAATTATCATATCAAATTACTAAAAATTCAATATGAAAAATCCCTTATCTCAAAAGAAAAAGAAAAAGAAAAGAAAAAAAAAGAAAGAGAAAAGGCCTGCTCCGTCTTCTTCCTCTCTCCGGCACCGCATCACCACCACCACATCTGCTCCGCCGCCGCACCACCACCACCTCCACCACAACCAAATCTGCCACCTATACTAACGCCTAAGCCTCCACCGACTCCACCTTCAATTCCTCCACTGTCACCTCCAACTCCACCACCAATTCCTCCACCAACACCTCGTCCAAATGTCCAACTCCTCCGGCTGTACCCAAAACCCCTCGCGACGCCTCCGCAGCCAATTTCTTTTCTAAAACCACCACCACCAAATCTGCTGGCGGCAGATTTAAGAGTACAAATCCCCTCACATTCAATTAGTGAATTTGGAAAGAATCACCGCCGGATTATGTGAGGCTAGGCATCACCGCCAATCGACGGCGATATGGATGGTGCAGAGTTTTTCTCATCCGGTGAATGGGAGGTTTATGTCCTCTATTTGCGGTGGGCCGCGAAGCAGAGGCGGCGGAGGGCTGCAAAGCAGAGTTAGCAGACGATAAAGGGTCGCGAGGCAGGCAACCGGCGAATTAGAGGCGGCGGACGGCGAATAAGAGGCGGCGGGCGGCGGACGGCGGTGGGCTGAAGAAGGACGAAGAGTAATTAATTTCGAATTTGTGAAAGTTTCAAATTAAGTTCTATTGAGTCCCTGGTACTTTCAATTTCACCCCTTATAATATTTTCAAGTAAAAAGACGAAAAAGCCCTTGTACTTTCACATGTGCATCGCGCGAGCGTTGAAAAATGAGAATATTCGCCGGAATATTCCCCTTAGGTGGTTATGTGCGTCAAAAAATCGAGTTTGGGTGGAAGCTTGCAACTTTTTTTAGTTAAGGTGGTAAGTGCAAAAACGGGCAAAGTCCAGGTGGCGAAATGCTATTAACTCATAGTATAATTTGATGAATAAGGATTTATCTCAAAAATGGAGGGGGAAAAAAAAGATATAATCTAAATTATACAATGCATATGATGGGGTTTTCACAAATAAGTAAAAGACAAAGAAAGAAGAAAAGGAAATACAATGCCGGAGACTGGCATCGACCGTCGGTCAGTGGCGGCATAAAAAAGATAAAGAAAAAAAAATGACAACGGCGGCGGCAACGGGCAAAATTGTACTCAAAATTGAATAATTGGTGAAATTTGTGGTCAAATTCATATTAAATTGAATAAAATGATAAAATTAGAGCATATTAAAACGTGAAGGGGTATGTTAGTCTTTTACACACCTCTGGACAATATTTGCACTGCTTTGGTAAAAACTTTTTTTGTCTAAACCCCTTTATAAATAAGTATCCGATGATAGTTTATTTGTGATGGACCCTTCAGATTTCTATAGCAAACAAAAAATAAAATAGTAAATAGTAATAATAGTACGTCAGGGTATGTATAGATGATATACATGTCTATTGTTTTAGGCCAACTTTAAATTTATTGAATTGTTTCTGTAAATTAAAACCGAATCAAACATCAGAATGTTCGAGAATTTTATAAATAATTTTATTCTTCCCATCCAAAAATTTTAAACACAAAATCTTCAAATCTTTTGGTTGTATTTATTTATGAGTAAATAGCACTTTACCCCTTTTGGTTTGAGCTTGTGCACATGACCTTATTGTCGTTTCAATATAAGTACATGATCCCCTTGTACTTTCTATATAGGATGGAAATGGCCATTCTATATAATACTTGGGGTGCAAAATGCAAAATCATTGAAAATAAAACACACTCGAAAAAGAGGCAAGATGCTCTTTATCTTGACAAGCAATGCAAATTTGGCAAACAGTACAGAACCAATAAACTACCAGCGAAGCTAGTCTATTCGACATTGTAGGGAGAAGGAAAAAAACGAGAAATGAAGTTTGACATTGTTAAAAACGAAACCATCATATGGACATATATAATAATTAAAAATAATAATAATAATAATAATAAAAAAAAGATAATTAATAATGACTTGGCATTTTGGTCTCAAATCATCCTTTGCTGCATTGGAGCTGCCATAGCCATTTGCTGCTGCTGCCTCCGCAATTTGGCCACATTCCCATAATATCCTGGTAATTATTAAGATGCAATATTAATATTAATTATTCATAAGAGTAAAAAAATAAAAAAGGGCCCTAGTATTAGTGTTAATATTAGTATTAGTATTAAATACTAACCAATAGAGGGGTCAATGCCCCTTTCGGTAAGCTCTCTGTATTCCTGACAGAGAGCACAGTATCCGCAGAAGCAGTGAATAAGGAAGTCTGGAGCTGGGGATTCCATCAGCCCAAACTTAGTTCTCAGTTTGGTCCGATAACTGCATGTCAGTAACCAAGGCATTCCTATACAAACCGTTATCAGCACGTACAGCATCCCACTCGTCCCGCATGCTACAACACACACACACACATTAATGATATATTAACATATATGTAAGGATGATAAAAGCGATAAACAATTAATGTGTACATATTGATATAGACTTGATCTTACATGTTATCCCAGAGTCCATATTTCAGCATCTGCCC